AAATAATAATGATTCTTGGTATGATGATTACATCATTTTGATGCTATCTAATGTTCTGAAGGTGTTCAATTCAGTCTAGAAGACTAAAAATAACCAAATATTAAAGACATAAAAATTTGACCATCTCAGCTGACTATGGGATTATGATTAATAACAGACAAGGTGACAGACTGGATCTTTTGGGCTCTGGCTAGTGAGTACTTCTGTGTCAATAAACTAAGGCAAACTGAAATGAGATGACTTGAGTACATCTGTGACATAGTCTTGGCTTAATTCTAGAAATCAAGATTCATGAGACTCTTGATTATCTTCAGTAAAACAGAAAAATTAGGTGCTACATAAAAGCTGATACATAATATCTGCTACATAAAAGCTGATAGCTAATTTCAATACCTGAGCAATGTATTGAAATGTTTTGTCTATCATACAGACATAGCTAATCTGCATCACTGGGAAAAAATAAGTCAGTAGTGAAATTAAAAAAAAATAACATGTCTCTCAAAGTTCATTATAGTGCTATAGGACTAAAACTAAGTCGTATTCTTCATTTTTCCTTTTGTTGTTTGAATGTATCGATATAGTTCAATATACTTCTTGAATAAAAAATGCTATTAAAATAAAATGAGTATCAACTTGACTAAATTAGTCTTGAATGATAGGTATTGCAGAGCCTTTAGAAACATATAACACTGATATTTTCTAGGCAATGGAAATTAAGCCTATCTTCTTTAATCTGAAATGATGTTTTAGAAATGTCAAAGATGCCTTTAAAATTGGAATGTTGAAAGGGCAGCCTATGCAAAGTGCCCACTTTGAAATTTAGCTTTACAATACTGGTCTGCTGTGGGCCAGATATTCAGAAAAAAATCATACCTACTGATGAACTGACATTAAGGAAGGAATCATTTCTGAGAATGAGGTCTTAGTAATGCATCAAAATTGCTGGAAGAGTAAAACATCTTGGAGTGAAAGACAAAAAAAGCCTCATCCTTGCAATCATACCCCATCACTCAAGTTTGCTGGGATAATATCCACCTTCAGGACAGTTTTTTACTGCCTGTGCATGCCAAGTCATTAGAATTTCAGCCATCTATGGCTCACTAACCACTTACTCCAGACAGAAACTAGCTTGGTGGGTAGTTTGGGAGAACTGTGCGACTTACCACTTTTTCCCTTCCTTATTTCCTTTCCCTTGGGACATCACATGTATACTTTTCTTGCTTCCGTGTGAATTTCACTGCTCAATTTAAATATTTCACCTTAATATCTCTCTGAGGGTGCATAGGTATTCATTCTGTATTCACTCATTCATTTCCTTTCTCTCCACTAATTATGGCTCCACTTCCTTGGAAAATATTTCTCTGAAAACCAGGGCCAGATTCAGGGACCTGCAAACTTTGCAGTTGCATAAGACTCTTTGCTCAGAAGGCCTCCACATTTGCTTTAATGCTCTGTGGCCACTGTCTGGAAATTCTTAATAATTTTAATTTTGACCTTATGCTTTGTAAATGAAGTATAATGGAACAATGGAGCATATACATGAATACAGGAATTATATACAATATGCATTTTCATTGTTCTTTGCCACTCCATTCAAACGTAACGTTTGCAGCACCCATGAACACAGAATTCCAATGGACTCACAATGCACTGGAGTTCAGCAAGACTCCTATGAGTAAAATGTGTGTTAAGTCTTTGCCTAAGTTGGGTATTGACAGCCCCAAAAGGCCACATCTTCTGCTTGAACCAAAACTTCTGCACAACGAGGAAAACGGCCAAAGAGCCCTATCATATTCTTCATTACTCATCTTAGTTTGTAGTGGCCAATTGTATTGAAAAATGACATAGAAGGAAAGGAATAGATAAGGGAAACCATAGTTTCTTTTCCTTTCGATTTCCTCCAACTCATCAGTAAGCTCAAAGTAGAGTATTGGTAAAATATGTGCAAATAAAGACATAGAATAAAAACAATTCAGTTATTTTTGTGCAGTGTTTCCACTGTTTCACCGTGGTAAAAATTAAACACATATTCATATATGAGCTACACAATACAAATTGTAAAATTTTTGTTATTTCACATGAGTTAAGCATTCTTATGTTTTTGCATTTAACACTGTCATTGCACAATATAAAGATGAAAGTTAAAATTCATGCAAATAATTTAAATTTGTTTACTTGGACATTAAATTGCAAATAAAAATATCATAACAATTGTGTGTGAAGGGGTTGGGGAAATGGTAGGGAGATCATAAAAGAAAGAAAAACGCTTTATGTATTGGTACTTTAAATGCACTTTTTTCCTGTTGTTTGGAGCTAGGGGTGCTACATTTCATTTTGCACTGGGCCCCAAAAATTATGTAGCTGGCTCTGCTTAAGACTTCTAAGTTGAAATTGTGTGTCTCATTTTTACTAACCATGGCTGAGAAGCATGATATCAGTGCTAGTAATATCCCCACATTATGGAAAGATCAAATTGGTGGCTCTTTGAAAACTCCTTGAAAATTTTCTTAGCATTTTTATGAACTTTTAAGTAAAATTCATTTTTTTTAAAACACAAATAACCAAAATATTTTTTTTTTAAATTCTACTTCTTCTCTAATGGCATTGCTTTATTTTATCACAAGGATTATAACATTATTCTCTTTACTGGTCTTCACTGAAAATATATAGTATTTCTGATGTTCTGTGAGTTACAGATAATTGGGCCAACATATGAACCACAAGAGTCACGTGTTTTCTGGCCTGGATTGGGAACCTAACCATCATTTCAATCTCCAGAGGAAATATGTTTTTAATGCCAAACAACTGACTTACAAATCTTTTTCCATAGCTTGTTTGTAAGTCAAGAGCTGATTTTAGTTTATGTTTTCTTACAGTTCAAATATAATGCTCAAGATACTGTATTTGCTTTATGATTTAAAAGTTTGTTAATGTTTATTTAGCCAGTTTTGAGAGCTTGGTATGCTGTTTTCCCTTGGATTGGTCCTGAAATTTGGTCAGGAACAGATAAGACAAATGGGCAGGAAGCAGATAGAGAGGAGAAAGGTTCAAATTTTACACCAAGATTCAGACATTTCCTGCTCACCTTCTTGCTTCTGGAATCACTACAAGGAATATTTAATACTATTTTAAGTCATTCATTTCCTAAAGACCCCTAAAGATTATATGTTTTCTATGAGATTATCCTATGAGAAAAAAAAATATTGTAAGTGCTATTCATTTCTAATAACTGTATTTACCTTGAAACACCAAGAAGAGTTACAGAGTTTATTTTAAAAAGTAAAAAAAAGGTGAAAAGTGAAAATAATTCCTTCTGGTCATTAAGTCAACTGTAGTCACATTTAATAATTATTCTTAAATTATTAAATTCAACTTTCCTGCTTCATCTTTGAGCATAAAATTTTTTCACATAAAATCATCCTAATTTGAGACTGGCAATGGTAGGAATAAATAATTATTTTAGGTAACAAACAGTTTGAACTAGCTTTGCTTGTCTGAAGCTATCTTCCTGTACACTTTTTTTTCTTTTAACTAATAGTTTCTTCTATGCCTTTCTATCACATAAAGGAGGCAGTATAATACATTTTATGTAATTTAAAGTCAATTTTGATAAACATTAGATTTTAAAAAACATTTTCACATTTATATCAGTAAGCCTTCCTTAAGTAAGATAATTTCTTTAAACATGTTTTGATTATACAACTTTTTTTTTTTTTTAATCAAAAGAGGGAACTGTTACAGATTGTAAGTCAAAAAGGGACACCTGGCTATCATTTCTCTTATTGACTCTTCGGTGATAATTGTCCCTGGTGCAATCCTTTTAATTCTATTACTTTTAGAGAATGGTGGTTTATTTTATTCTTATGAACATTGTTTTCTCTCAAAACACTATTGGATTAACTTTATTCCCCACGTTAAAAAGTATTAAAATTGTTTTCATATTTTTTTCTTTTTTACGAAAGCAGCTTTAAGGCAGAAATTTAAGCCACTATTACAGTCAATGTTAACACTGTAGTGGGAAATTGACTATGAGGAAACACTGAATGATCAGAGACTACATTTTCAGAAATCTCTAGTATGGAGATTATTTCACTGTCATACAGCACCAACGACAAAACCACAAACACCCATTAGATTTTGAGCGTCTACTGTGTATCAGATTTTTGTGTGTGTGTTTTTAAATCCCCTTATCTTCTAAAGATTTTTCGAAAACTTGTATACTCACGATAATCCTGTGCGATAAAACTAAATTCTAAAATTAACCTCAAATAGCAGCACCATCCTGCCTCGCCAAGGAGCTTTTTAAATCCTCAAACTGGCACAGTTGCCATGTGTAAGCAGTATTTCAGTACTCTTTGTCTAAGTTTAAAAAGGTCTAAGTGGGGAAAAAGTTTAGGTGTCCTTCGGTCTCTTTAACAATTAAAAGTTTGGTTCTTTATAGAGGCGCAACAAATGCAGTACAGGGCTCTTAGGTGACTCTAAAGAGACCCCCCGCCTTTCTATGACTGCTCTATTCTGAGCAGGACTTCTCCAAGGAACCCACCTGGTTTTCTATACTGAGGGTGAACGGGCACGAAACGGTTACTTCTGTGGGTCTCAGATTACTGGTTTGTAAAATCAGAAACTTGGACAAAGTTTTCTCTTACTTTCCCTGAAGTGACTCTGGAGGTGGGAGGAAGCACAAGGCTGAATCAGGCAACATAAATCAACCACTCTCGCATGAGTGGTCCGAGAGGAGCAGTTCTACTGGGTTAAACTTAGGGGGTCAACAAGCCGCAGGTAGGGTCCAGGGGGCCGCGAGCACAGCAGCAGAAAAATTGGGCCAGAGAACTCGAGTCAGAGCTGTAGGCGTAGTCGCCCCTCTTCCTGAAGTCCAGCCAGCCCCTAGAACTGGGTTCACACCACGCCCCCCGCCTCAATGTAGTAGCTCTCGCAGTGAACTACATTTCCCAGAATGCCATGCAACAGTCTTCCCAGGGTGCCAATAAGCGCCCGGATGACGCCATCATCCGGCGCGGTGTTTAGAGTCCACTGATGTCGTGGCGCTTTGGGGAATGAAGTTGGTGTTCCGAGGGGCCCTGGTGCTGAAGACGCGGTCCGGGTGACCCCTAACTCTTTTCTACCACCCTCCCCCGCACACCTTTTCCCTCTCTCCTCTGGCAGGATGAGGCGTGCAGGCTTGGGTAAGAAGAGGGCTGAGGTTCGAAGTTCGGGGCCCTAGAACCGGCCCATGCTGGGCGCGGGTGGGCGGGAGGAAATCGGACCGGTCTTCTGTCCCTGGCATCTGGGCCAAAAAAAGCGGGATGTCTGGAGGGGTCTTTGGAGGCTGTGCCAAGTGGAAGCACACCATTTGTTCCAGATCCTAGGAGTTTCCGTAAGTTTGATTCAGACTCAAGTTTGGGTAGTCTGCTAGAGAGAGTAGTGGAGTACTAGGGGGTGGGGTATGTACAGGTGCCAACTCAGTAGTCGAGTCTTTTAGTGTTAGTGACTGTCTGAGCGTGGTTGTAGAAACTGTTATGTTTCCCGAAGTCCAGCTCCTGTTTCTCTTTATATATTGGCTCTGAGTTTGAGTTTTTTCAGAAGTGAAGTTTGAAGAATGGGTTTTGCACACGCGAAGCACACTAATAATGATTACGTTAGTCTGGTAACAGTGAGTTACAAAGGTGAAGATACGTGTCTTTATTGTTAAAGTCCCTGGTATGTAATATCAGGGTCAAAGGCGATTTTACTGAAAACATTTATCTGAACCTTGTTCCACTGTTAAGGCAGTAGAACGTGGTAAGATTTGGTGTTCTTGACCTTGTGGGTTAGGAAGCCAGCTCATCAAGCAGCAGGAATGAGTTAGGCACCAGAAATTTTAATGGGCATTATAATAACTCACAGCTATTAGAACAGCATTTTCTGGTTCTGAAGCTCTCTATTAGGACATGATTTTTTTCTAAAGAGAAAACCCTGCTAAATCAAAGTGCGATATATTTGAGAGAATGTATGAAAAAATAGAATGTTACCTTTCTCAGTGTTTGTAATACGATTGAAAAAGGAGTAAAACAATTTTTCCAACAGTATCAGATATTTAACATTAATGAAGTTGCCAATAACTTTAGACTTGTATATTGATTAATAAGTTGTGGTATGAGGAAGTTTTTTTAAATGAAGTTTTTATGAATACGAAGTGGGCCAGGTAAATTGAAGAGAGAGAAAAAGAAATATTTTTGAGCAAGTTTAGTTTTATAATGCTAAATGTTCTTCTTTTTCATCATCAGTAAAGACAGCAAATATTTATTGTATACTTGAGTAAGCGCTACATGTACAACCATCTGTTACCCTGTTTGTGCTCCCAAGCTTCCAGTCTAGCTGGAGAGTAGGAATACGTACAAAGATAAATTATATTGTAAGGTGGTAGGTATACATCCAAGTTCCAGATAAGTTCTACAGATAGTGAATGTCTCAGAGATTTCAGAGATGGATCGCTGTGTACTTTGTGGAGACATAGGAACTTTGAACAATGGAGGGCAGGAAAGGTAAGTTCCAGATGGGATGATAACCAAAAAAGTACAAAAAGATACAGAATTAGAATTATGAATGGTGTATTTACTGGATTATAATTAAGCTGTTTTTGTTGAAGTACAGAACATGGGACCGTATTGTGGAGATCTTTGCCTGCTAGACCAAGGAGTTTGGATTTCATCAGTAGGCATTTAGGCCCTTTTGAATATTTTTTTTTCTGCAGTGTGCTATGTTAAATTGCAAGAAAGGGACTTGAGAAGTGGTTTTCAGGCCTGACTGTACATTAAAACCACCTGGGAAGGTTTTAAAGCGTTGTTACTTGGACCCCAGCTCAGACCAGTTAAATTAGAATCTCTAAAATAGAGATAAAGCTCCTCTGTGGTTGAAGAAACCATTGTTATAATTTACATTGGTGTGAAGTGAGTAGGGCTTTTTGTAAATTTAATCTTGCTTTTCTTTTTTTTTTAAGTATTAATGTGTATTGAATGGAATTTTAAATTTGGAATAATAATGACTCTGATAGATATCAATATGCAAAAGCTGCCACACTTCATGTGAATCTCTAAATGATTTTGTTAGGTTATTGATAGAACCTACCCCAAAGAAGTAGCATTTGTATAAATTAATAAATGTTAAGAATGATCTTCGGCACTCACTAGCTTTTCTACAACTTCGCATACAATAAATAATCCACATGAGAAAAAGTGGTTAAACCTAGAATTTAACCAGATTGGCAACTCTAGCATTTTCTTTGTTTTTTTTTTTTTCCATTATATTCTGGGTAGGTAATAGTTTGAGGGAAGATCAACTCTTTAATAGAAGAAATCTGCATTGAAAGATTTCTGAGCAATAAAAAATGAGAATTTCAGTGTGAATAAATGCAACAATATGGGAGAACTCTAAAATTAAAATAGATGAAAGAGGCAAAACCAAGAAAGTAAAGCAAATAGCTATTTTAGAGTGAATTCCTTGGTAATATTGTCAAGTTATCAGATTCAATGAGTCAGCAATTATTTATGGGGTAAATGTTATATACTCAGAAATTTAGTCACATAAAACAAAAAGATTGTCCTTTTTTTTTTTTAAAAAAAAAAAAAGGGGTCCTTATTAGTGTTTGCACAGAGTGTTACTAATTAATAGAGTGAGAATGCATTTTTTAAATAGTGATTTTAATTGTTGAGTGGGGACGAAACATTATGCCCAGTACTTGAGTTCTTGTATACTAACACATTTGAAAGGCTTCATGAGTAGTATATCAGCAGTTGAGGGAAAATTCAGGTAGTACAACTGTCTTCTGTTTGAAACATTTCAACATTTTGTTGTGGTTTTTATGATGATGGAGATTGTATAGGTGTGTGCTGCATATAAAGTACTGATTAGGTACAGGGAAGAATATAGAAGAAACATGAGAGATTGTCTCTGTCCTTACAGAAGCATGTGTTTCCATTGACAAAGGGATGCACGTGACAAGTTGAGTAACAGTGAAATCAGATTGTATTCATTAATTAGTTCATTTACAAGTATTCATTGAGTATGTCTTAGAGCGTGTGTGTTTGTACATTTATGGGGGATATACAGTGATGAGTGAAACAAACCTAGTCTCAGTCTTGAGTGCAATGTTAGTGTTCACACAGTGAGAACTGTAAGAATTCTATGGAAGTTTTGCTTCTTAGAGAAGATGACATTTGTACGGTGCCTTGAAAGAGCTTCCTAGTCACACATTGACCATCCTTCAACGACCTACTGTTACCTCCTGTCCTTCCAGCTCTTACTGTCACTGCTGCTGCTTCTGCTCTTTGGGCATATGAAGACTCCAGTTTTGATATCATCTCTTTCCCCTACATTCTCAGGCCATTATTGAATCCAGTCAATCTCTGTGCATTCTAGTCCCCATAATCCAGATCTTCAACCATTCTTTTGGCAAGTAATCTCAACCTCTTGAGGCTCTGTTCTTCTGCAGCCCCGATACTACAAACCTCCAACTCTTGATTAATCCAACCATCTGGCTTCTCACGGGCTAACTGAGGCCCATCAGCCCTTCTGTAGAAAAATTGCACATCTGGGAAGATTGAAGCACTGTAATATATTGCCTTGAGCAGGTTTGTCTTATCCTCCTAGTAATCTTGTACAGTCCTGGCCACTTTTCTCCTTTATTTTCCTTACTGTTTATTCCAAATGATTACCCGTTCTTCAACAGATAGCCCTTTTTCTCTCTTTACTGAGAAAAGTGATGGCAACAATTATGTAAAACAAAACAAAACAAAAGTATAATAGTTAACTGGTACTCTCAACTGTGCTTTCCTCTCTCAATCCTCTGACACATTTATGTATGCATTTACTGTCTAAGGCTCACTCAACCTGTTCCATTGCTTGATAAATATCAAGCACTATATTAGGCAGGAAACTGGGAACTGCATTCTCAATGTCATCCCCTAGAGTTCCATAAAAGTAGCATCTAGAAAGAACAGTAGACACATGGTAGTTCCTCAAATATATGTTGAAGAATGAATGAATCCCCCTTTTAACTCTCAGCTAACATTCTGCATAAGTTATTCCATCTCTCTCCTAGAGTTTTTATTTGCCTCCTTTCACTATGGCTCATCCCCTTGCAGCTCTCTATTTAAGAGAAAGAGATGCTGGTAAAAGACCCTCCCTCTGCCATGAGCTCCCATACCGCTATATTAACTGCTTTCTCCCTTTCCGTTTGTAGTAATGCTTCTTTAATGGGTAGTTGATGTTACCATGTTTAGATCTTTTATTGAAATATATATTTCTATTTGAGCAAGGGCTGTACCCTGATTATCCTGTGTGTCAGTGCCTATTTTAGTGTCTTTTGGGCAATTAATAAACAATAAGTGTTTATTGAAATGACCTGAATATTTGCTTAAGAGAGGGTAATAGGAAGAATTGGTCTGATCTCTGGTTATTAACTTTTTAAAATTCATTTAAAATAATATATACATACATGGTCTGCAACGCCCTCCGGGGGTCCTTTTTGGTTTTTTTTCTATCAAGGTTTCAAAAGTGGCTTCTGTTTTTGCTCCAGCTACACTTGTGACTCTTATCCCTGCAGGTGAAGGCGTACCCCCTGGCAACTATGGGAATTATGGCTATGCTAATAGTGGGTATAGTGCCTGTGAAGAAGAAAATGAGAGACTCACTGAAAGTCTGAGAAGCAAAGTAACTGCTATAAAATCTGTAAGTATATAACATATTTTATGTGTTTTTATTTATATATTTATATATATGATATCCTTTATAAACTATATACTTTTACTGGTATACCAGGGAGTTCAGTTGCCTAAATACCATGATTTTTGTGATGTCGGAGTGCACTCAAAATTTAGACTATGCTTTGAGTAGGTTAGAAAATGTGACAAATCAAAAGACACGATATTCTTCTTTAATTTATTTTTAAATTCCAGCTGTTGTGTGTGGCAAAATCGAAAAATGCTGTGTGTTGTCTGCTATAATATTTGAAACAGAGCTGTCCTGTCTTCTACCCCCAAATGACTCTTCTCCTAATTTTTTTTCTTCTTAATCTCCTAAGCTGCAATCTCAGTCTTTCTTGTACCTTTGCACTTCATTTCAGTCACCAAGTCTTAAGCTTCTTTCTAATGTTTCTCTCTATATCTGCTTTTGTTTTTGTAATACTGTCCCCTGGTTTTCTTAGTTGAACTATTGGGGGAATCTCTTTACTCATCTGTTTCTTGTTTTTTGTATGTTCTGATCTAAGCCACATACTGTTGGCACAGTCATCTTTTTAGAGTATTTTTAAAATTTCATCCCGTACACCTGAGAGTCTTCAGTGTCCTCCCATGATTTAGTGAAGTTCACACTTTGTTGCTTGTTTGGATAGGTCCTTCAAAGGTTAGCCTTAGCTTTTCAAAGCTTATCTCACATACTTCCAGAATGTGCATGTGCTTTCCACCAGACAACGTGTTCTCTCTGTCCTATGTATGCTGTCACTTTCCCACTCCCATAATTTTGACCACTCCGTTTTTTTGTTTGTTTTTGCCTTGGGCATTGTCTTCCTCCTTACATTGACTGAAATCTTGTTCATCGTGAAAGGCCCCACTTCATTGTGCCCCTTCTTCCAAAATTTACCTGATTATCTCATCCAAAAATAACTTTTTTCCTTATGAACATAAGGCACTATTTGTGCCATTTCTGTAGCACTTATGCATAGTGATTTGCATTGGCATTATTTGTATATAAAAGAAATTTACCAGAATATAGGGGTTTCTACTGTATTTACTTTTATATTATACACAGCACCTAGTATAATTTTCTTATCAGTGATATTGATTAAATTTGTGTTAAATAAAATAATTATACAAAGATGATTTTAAGGATATATGTAATTGATTCTGCATTATAATAAACATGGTATATACTTATAAAACATTCAGTGGAAGCCCATGTTGCTAGAACTTGGTATTTCATTATAGTCTTTGGAAAATTTAATTGTATTCAGCCTGGAGACTACTACATTTTGAAACAGAGTCATATTAAAGTCATATTAAACCAAAAAAGTTGATTTATGAACTAAGTGATTTTGTATAATGTTAATAATTTAGAAAATATAACATTTGGAAGGATTTAAGAATTAAATGCCTTAAAAAAACCCTTTAATATTGATAATTTAGACTCTTTGTTAGAAGAAAGCTTTGATGTCCTAGAAATTTCTTTCCTTGACATGACTGATAGTTATAAAACGTAGTTGGGTGATTTGAACTATCTGGCTTTATAGGTACTTTATTGACTCTGAGTAAATTTTGGGGGAAAGCTCATGTTTTGATTATAGAATTCTATAGTTTTGTATCAGTATTATCCCATATACTTTCACTCAAATTAAGTTAAGAACAGTATTTGCAATGCTTTGTCAAGGTTTTCAGTAGTTGATTGTATTTATTTAAATATCTTGGAAGTGGAGCCCCTGATGAATTTGTCTTATAAAGTATTAGGTAGATTTTGGTTTGGATAGTAGCTGTAATTACCTATTGTATTGTTTCTTGTAAGCTTGGGCTCTTTTCTGCATAGCTTCAGGATGTAGCTGATAACCTAATTTGTAAGTTTTTTTTCCAATTTATTATATTTTAAATGAAAAAATACCTTTAGAACTAAAGAAATAATCAATTTAGACATGTATCTAATATCACATTTCATTAGCAAAATATTAAATGCTTATGTCTGGATTTGAATTGGTCATAGGATCCTTGTATATCTTTTAAAATGTAAGATGGAAATATACAGATAAGTGCTCTTGTGTGAATAAAATAAAGAGAAAAAAGCATGCAAGAATAAGAGAACCAAGGAAAAGCATATATACCAAAATTAAAAATGGAATTCAATATTAAGATGAAATCAGAAAATGAAGAGCAAAGAGAAAATGTCAATAGTTTGGAGAACTACAAATTCTATATTTTTATTAATTTCAGTGGGAAAATATCAGAAGAGAGTATATTTCATATTTCTAGAAGCAGTTTCATTTGAGAAAATGTGTATGCGTATAATGGCATTATTTTTACTTTATAACCTTGGACTACATTTATATGAGTAATTTGTATGCTTTCTTTATAGCTTTCCATTGAAATAGGCCATGAAGTTAAAATCAAAAAAATTATTAGCTGAAATGGTAAGTGTTATTTTTTTAACTATAATTTGATCTAATCTCAAATTTATTAATAGTTACAGGAATATCATTTCAACATTTATTCACTTGAAATAGATCTACAGATCTTAAGTCCTGGATTCCCATCTATTTATATTTAATGTATTTGAATAACTATAAGGTTTATTTTGGCTACACTTTGCATTTTTCTTCTTGCCTAAACACATATAAGTGGAGAAGCAGGTAGATTCCAGTGTATCTTTAATCCTGGTGTTAGAAACATTGTTAAAGACTGAAGACAAATTAGAACATTGTTAGAGACTCAAGACATAACTATTTGAGTAGTCTTAGAAACACAATGGAAGACTGCAGTGATTTATTAACCACGCAATCAAAGCATTTCTATCCACCCAAACAAATATCTTTCACTTAATGGAAACTTATTCTTTTGCATATTTCCTAAGGTCCATTTTGAACAAAGTGCTCATTGATTTGAATGCCTGGAGCATTTTATCTATAACAACACATAACCTTTTCTGGTTAGAGCCTACTTTCATTTAGTAATATTTATTTTGGATGTCAAACTTCCTGGACCTTCCTGGTTTTTCCACATGCTTTTAACTTATTGACTGCCCACTAGAAAAAAAAATGTTTTCCCTGGGCCATGGTGTTTATTATGAAAATAGAATAAAAACTTCAAAACAAAACGATCCTTTCTAATTTAATGAAAAAATTATTTTTTATTATTTTCTATGCATAATATATGCAATTAAGTTGTCAATATTAATTGTGGCAATGAGAACATCAACAAGTAGATTTCATGAACCACTGCAGGGTTTTGCCCAGGGGCCACCCATCAAGTAACTGTATGCTACAGCATGGCAGCGTCAGTTGCCTGCGCACCACTCAGCTCCTAAGGTAAACAGACATGTGAGTTACATATACTTCATGAGGTTCGAGGCTCAAAACTAGCATGAGTTAAATACAACTCATGTGGCAGTTAATGTGTTAAAATTGTACTATTCAAAAATGAATTTGGCATTATGATCTTACTAAGCTTGTACACTATAATCACCTAGAGAACTCTTTAAAAATACAAATGAATGCCTGTTTCTCACTTTAAGTACACTGATTCAGATTTTCATAGGGAGGGATCTAGGCATATATATTTTGAAAAGGCATCCCAGGTGATTCTGATGCATAACTATAGTAAAGAATCATAGATCTGAAGTGATGAGCTATATAGAGAGTGAGCAATACAAAGGCTATTATTATACCAGGGCCTTTACATCTCAGAATATTGAGATTTTATGAAAATACCTGATATTTCTCATCCATACCTAATCTTCTCATCTTAAGAACTTTCCCAGCTATGTTTTATTACGGTAGTTTTTCCCCATCCATGTTTATAGTGCTTACCACATTTTACCACCTCTGTATGATATTCTGTTAACTTTTAATAGACTCCACTGTACTTCAAAGTCAGTCTGTCTAAACAATAGGATCTTAAAAGTAAAGGTACATTTAGCTGCTAACTATATGACATTTTTGATGAATTCCTCTACTGAGAATCCATTTGATATTGGAGGGCAATGCCACAACAAAAAGTGGGGGAAAAAACTGTAGGATAGTATACAAACTGCTTAACTTTATTGTTATTGTTTGTCACCCACATAATTAGAATAATACTTAAATAGTTTTGAGTTTTTTAATTATTTAGTGGGGCTGAATCAAATGTTTATTGGACAATGAAAGACCTTTTTATTCATTGAGAGAATTGCTTTATTTTGCATGGAGTAATCATGCTGATTATCCAAGATTAATAGCAGGTTTCTGAATTGATTAAACACAAAAATTGTCATTAAAAATGTACTCTACTAACAGTTACTCAATTATGTGAATATTGTAGACTATTACAATCTATTATTTTTTATTTTCCTTCTCCTCTCATAGGATTCACAATTTGATTCTACAACTGGATTTCTAGGTAAAACTATGGGAAAACTGAAGATTTTATCCAGAGGGAGCCAAACAAAGTTGCTGTGCTATATGATGCTATTTTCATTATTTGTCTTTTTTGTCATTTATTGGATTATTAAACTGAGGTGATGCAAGTAAATGTGAGTTTGGAATTTGTTCCATCTTAATGGCTTGGATTACTACTTTGATAAAAATCAGCATCAAAACATTCCTAATTTTCAAATACTATGGCCTTTTCCATTGAATATTCCTGAATCTTGCTTGTTTTATAAATCACATTAAACGACAGTGCTCTTTGAATACTGTTTCTTGATAACTTATTTTAGCCCCTATTTTCAGGGGTGTTGAGATGGTGTCTCTACCATTTTTTTCCCTACTGTTTGCTAACTGTCACATTAAATAGCATTATAGTATTCTGTTGTTAACATAAACAGGTTTATATTCTATATAAGGAAACTTAGTGGTAGAGTAACAGAATACTTGTAGAGCCTGATTCTAAACTCTTAGATGGTGAACCAGTGATAGAAAGGTAATTAAATTTTCCTTAACTGTCAACTGTGATGATGTACTCCCCTTTCCTCCTTTATTTAGTTAAAATTGTAGACCGATTGCTTTTTAACTAAAATCTTCCTAATAATTTTTGATGACATGGCCCTCTTTCCTCTCTGTCTAGAGACCTCATTCATTGAATAAAGTTTGTTATTTCAGCATTTTTCTAGTAAGGCCCAGTGCACATATGTATCAGTATAGTTATTGTTTTATATTAACTTTGTAAATTTCATTGACTTGTCTTATTATAGTTTTATGATTTTTGGTACTTAGATATGCCATTTGATTATCACTTGTGACAGAATAATGTGAAGTTAACTAATTGCTAACCTCTGAATGGAAATAAAATGTTCAAGAAAATTAATTGCTTCTGCTTTATTATATGCTCAAAATAGATATTGAAAATACTCAGGCATTAAACTTGGAGTTAAGGGTATTTTTGCTTTAATCCATTGTATTTGTTTATGAGAAACAAAATGCAAAGGTGGACTGTTGAGTAAAAAAGAAATATTAAAATATTGTTAAATACTCTGTATTGCCACTATTTTGGAATTTACCTATTTATGGGCTCCAAAAATAAATTTTTAAATAAAATATATTAATTGACTTTGTCACTTCTTTAAGTTTCTTATATTCTTTACAGAATCTGAGAAAGGGACCTGAAAACCCTGATTCCAACCCAAATCAAGCAAAATCAACATTTGTATTATGTCATAACTTGCTTCAAATAAATAAGCAAAACTGTACTTTCAAAAATATCTTTAATTCTTTCTATCTTTAGTTATGAATCTGTCCTCATTGACTTTGCTGAGCTTTTAGTCCTTTTTGCTTATCCCTAATTACCTGTCAATTCAGGTCCTATCTTTTCTGACTGAATTTGTCATTTAGGCCTCTATTTGACAGTTTAAAAACAACAGAGCTGAGTGGGGTTAAGTGACTTATCCCTGAGGTGTGATGGGAGAGGCACTGGTTTGAGTTAAATGAACTGGGTTCAAATCTCTTTTCCTTCACTTGTTCAGTGCTTTTGGCCTTGGTTTCTTCATTACTTCTTTCATAGGATTGTCGTGAGAGATAGATAATATATGGGAAAGTGCCTGATATATGATAAATACTAGATAAATGGTAGTTCTCAACTATAATTAACAGAAATTAAGTGTCAGATAAGGAAGTTATTTTAAGGGCAAAATAGGTTGGTTTCAGGCTTTGAGGTGATGATGTAACCTCTAAGTGGGTATTTCATCAGGCAATTGGAGAGTGAGTCATTCATTCAAGAAATTTTTAACTGTGTACTCTGTGCCAATTATGTGACACCAGAGCTCGGTAGACTCAAAAACTATTGTCAGTAATTAAAATTCCAAAAAAATGGGAAGAGCAGAAGGCCAATGAAAATGAAGATGAAAGCAGAGAAGAATCCATAATGGAAATATAACATATAGAAGATATCAAAGACTTAGGAAAACCAGTGATGGCAAGAGTAGGATGGATTTCAGGATTGTTTGGCTATTTTTGTAAAGTATTAAAGCACCTTAAAGTTGGACAATATCATCAAGAAGGTGGAGATTTTAGGAAAAGGGGTTTTGGGCAATGTAAATGATTCTCATCATTGAATAGTTCAACATTTCTTATTTTATGACTTGTTTTTTATTATTTAAGAACTACCTATAGTAGGTCCTTACTTGGCGTTTCACATCACTCCTTCACATCACTATGTTTGCTGAGATTCCTGGTGGGCAAGGAACTCCTGGACGCACTGGCCTGTTCTTGTCCCACCAGGGATCCTCCAGCTAGCACCCTCTTCCTTCTAAAACAAATATGCAATACTTTAAGCATCAGAATTCTGGAGCAGCATCTGCACCTTTAAGAAACTTCTGTTTCTATAAAATACTTAGTTTTCCTAATTTTTCAATGCTCTTAAATTTCAAATTGTGTATGTTGAATTTACTGTGAGAGAAAATTTTAAAAGTGTTTGATTTCATTCAGTTATTAAATAGTGTCATCAGGCCATACTGATAAATAAACTTTGACTAAATATTTGCTGGGTAACAAAATAGCACCATGGCTAAGATGGAAAGCTGTGAAGTCACACTGGCTGAGCATAAATCCTGCCTCCACCACTCAAATTATGACTTTGGGTTCATGACCTCTCCATCTCAGTTACCATATTTGTAAAATAGGAATAAAAATTGTATGAAAATACACTCATAGGCTGATAGTGATAATAAAATATTGCCTGTACAGTACCTAGAATGGATTCCTGGTGTTCAACGGGAGGTATTAAATATTCTATTCCATTACGTTTCCTATAGTTACATTATGCTTAACTTGATTCTATTTTGGAACTCATTACTTAATCATGTGAGGGCTTGTTTGATGTTCTTTTTAATTTCCGAAGTGCCAACCAGTTATTCTCACAGTAAATATTGAATAGTACTCCCTCCCTTTTTTTGATTCTCTTGGTATATACTGTTATAGCATATAATAGGGTCTTTTTCTGGTAAATGTATTTTGTTTCATCCAGTTTTTTATCCTTGCACCAATACCATGCTATTTTAATTATTGGAGTTTCATAATGTTTTACTAGTGAACAAATATTTTTATCTATTCATCCTTTCTGATGAACCAGCATATCTTGATAATATTTTAATAAATCATAGTGATTTTGGGCAGGAATCATATTAATCTGATATACTCTATGCTAAAAAAAACCTCTAAAAAGTTTCCATAATTAAAATGTTGGACTTTGACTCCAAGTAAATTTTTCATTTCCTTTCGTTTTATATGTAATGGTATGGTGGCAAGCCAGCTCACAAGGCAGGGAATGCGGGGGTGAGGAGAAGCCCTAACTTGTAGTAAGTCTATTTCTGTGGTATAAATACTCCCACCACACTTGATTTCAAGCACTGTCATGACATATTGGAGTGATACATGGAACACAAGAGCTATGAAAATAAGTGCACAATTGGCTCTCATGAGCTGATATGAACTAGCTCCAGTACACCCTGGCTATATTGATGATAAATGTTCTTTTAAAATATTTAGAAGTTATTTGCTTCCCAAATGAGAACCTCTCACTTAAATTTTAATAGAAGAATCTCAAGTGACATGAATTGAAACTGATAAATTAACTTGAGAATAATACTTTTCAAAGGCAATGGCCACTTAGAAGATCATTTGTACATTTTGCATATGTCAACTTTTTCTCACATGTATAAATTCTTGCTGTATTTACTGACCTTCCATATTCTAGTAGTTCAAGTACTGTGTATGAATGACATATTAAAAATATGGGTGGTTTGGTTATTGTTATTCTTGTTTTCTCCATGCTTTTCCCTCTAGTTAAATGTTGTAGCAAGAAAGTGGGTATCATTCTGTACATTTCATATAGATTGGCTCTCTTTGCATATATATATATATTGGCCTCTAGGGTTTGTCTTAGCCCAGGAATTCAACTACTCTTTACCCTTTTGGAAGAATTTTTCATAAGCCTTTGAAAGACTAGCATATAAAGTGAAGAGATATGCAACCTGGAGCAACTGGGTTTGAGGCCTCAGCCTCCTCAGTAGATGGGCCACAGGTGCGCATCACCACACATGGCTAATTTTTTATTTTTTGTAGAGATGGAGTCTTGCTATGTTGCCTAGGCTGGTCTCAAACTCTTGGGTTCAAGTGATTCTCCTGCCTTGGCCTTCTATTAAATCTTAAAATAATCTTTCCTTAAACTTTAAAATGAACAGAAAAATAGAATACACATAAAATGTTTTTGAATATGGCAATACCTCAAACAGCTAAAAGTAGAACTACCATATGATCCAGCAATCCCATTACTGGGCATCTACCCAAAGGAAAAAAAAGACATTCCATAATAAAGACATCTGCACTCAAATGGTTATAACAGCACTACTCACAATTGCAAAGACATGAAATCAATCCAAGTGTCCATCAATACATGAGTGGAGGCCGGGCGGCAGTGGCTCACGCCTGTAATCCTAGCACTCTGGGAGGCCAAGGCGGGCGGATTGCTCAAGGTCAGGAGTTCAAAACCAGCCTGAGCGAGACCCCGTCTCTACCATAAAAATAGAAAGAAATTAATTGGCCAACTAATATATATAATATAAAAATCAGCCGGGCATGGTGGCTCGTGCCTGTAGTCCCAGCTACTCGGGAGGCTGAGGCAGGAGGATCGCTTGAGCCCAGGAGTTTGAGGTTTCTGTGAGCTAGGCTGATGCCACGGCACTCACTCTAGCCTAGGCAAGAAAGCGAGACTCTGTCTCAAAAAAAAAAAAATACATGAGTGGATTAATATAATGTCATATATGTATACCCTGGAGTACTATTCAGCCACAAAAAACAATGGTGAACTAGCATATCTTGTATAATCCTGGATGGAGATGGAGCCCATTCTAAGTAAAGTATCACAAGAATGGAAAAAAAAACAACTCATGTACTCACCATTAAATTGGTACTAATTGAGCAACACTTATGTGCACATATGATAGTAACATTCATTGGGTGTCAGGCAGGTGGGAGGGGGGCGGAGGGGATGGGTATATTCATACCTAATGGGTATGGTGCACACTGTCAGGGATGGGCACGCTTGTAGCTCTGACTCGGATGGGGCAAAGGCAATATATGTAACCTAAACATTTGTATCCTTGCAATATTCTGAAATTAAAAAAAGAAAAAAAAATCAAGCATATATTAGGTGTGAGACTCTAAAATTCACATACACTTAGTTAATCATTTATAACTTTAGTAGCTAAAATATAATGCAAAATATAACCGCATTATTCATTGTAAACATAAGTATTCTTCAAAGTCTTTATGACACTTAAAAAGAAAAACTTACGTTTAATGTTTTCTTTTGACTAAGTTAACTTTGCTAACTTCAATATGGGTCATAATTATGTAAAAATTATATAAAAATTTGCTCCTACTATGCTTTTACAAAAATTTGTGATCATGGTGTGATTCATATGAAAGCAGACAGATAAATCTGACTTTATTAGTATTTATGGCTTCTCTAATGCCTACAATGAATTTAGAAATTAGCAGTAAAAACAAAACACATAGCATAAAAATGTCTATATAAAACAGATATTAATATATCATGAAAAACTCTGTCAGGTTATCAATTTACATTTTAAATGAATCTAATTATTTCTTTCTCCTCAACTTTATCTCATTAATGAATAAATAGTCCTACCAGTTGGCAATTTATTAAGCTTTCTGCATTATTTAATAATCAATTTGCTTTAGAGCAAAAAATAAATTGTCTTAAATTCAGGAAAACTGGAACATGAGTTTTATGTAAAGTAATCTGTGTTTCAGAAAACTTACTGGAATAAAATGCTTTAGTCTGCTTATAGATATTTAAATACTTAGCTCCCTTAAAAAGTCTATTTTTAACATTTTAATTCCACATTAATATATATTTATATTTAACTTATTTAAACATTATTTAAAATTTGTAAAGGCAAGTTGAGTTTGTTTTGTTTACACACACACACACACACACACAATTCCAAAGAGTACAAATATGGTGACATTTATGAAAGAGATTCATACTATTGGATTAAAATTCCTTCAATAATTGATG